GGGGGGGGGGGGGGGGGGGGGGGGGGGGGGGGGATCCCCTCGTTCCTGAGAAAAGTGGCTGCAGCATGCAGTTGTACCGTTCGAGACTGCCTGTCCCCGAACATGCTGCAAGCGGGAGAACAAGAATAGCGGTCGAAACACAGCGAGGAACATCTCTTGCCACCCAAAGCCGGTGGCGGATCTCTCACAGCGCACCACGAGGAGCGCAGCGGAGATGGTCGGCGGCGGCGGAGAATGGAGGAAACGCGCAGCGGACTCTTCTGCTCGGAGCTCCGCTCGCTGCTGAGTTCCGTTTTGGCGCCTATGTCGCGCTTCAGTGCCATCGATGGCGGAAGCTCCGAGCGGATAATTGAGTCGCAGCAAGAATAGCTGCCTCGTCCTTTCCACACCCTCATCGACATCACACACGTCCAGCACTCATAACACCAGTCTCATTTGTGCGATCATGTCTTCCAATCAGTGGAAAGGCCGACATGAACATCTCGCAACTCCACAGGCCTTTTTTTTCTCGTAGAAGATGGCGTCGGAAACCGCGTACGTGTGCGTTCAGTTCATTCTCAGCCCACTTGTCGCCGATATTTCTAGCGGCGCCGTTCTCACCTTGTCTGATTTCAGAACAAGTGTGGGTAATCTCGGTTTCTATGACGGGATATGGGCATATGGCGCAAATCGATTTGCATCCAGCGGCCAGACGATCCCATCAGCCTTCGGAGAATCCTCCCTACTCAAACCATAAGATCCGCACCAGCACACGCCTTTCCTTTCGGGACTTCCAATGTTTTGTTTTCCGGGATTTTCGTCCATTTAGCGGATTTCGTGAAAATGCCATCAGGTCGTGTGGTAAATCTTTGCCAAATCGGTCGCGTGAGGGGAAAGAGTCCGGATTGTCGAAAAGATTATCTTTCCGCGCTGCGTGCGGCCGCATCAATCTCAGACATCCCTCTATCTCACTCACTCACAAAATACTTCCGCGCGCCGTTTGTGATCGGCTTTCCACCCTAACCCAACCGTGCGGGTGCAGCGGTCATATGGAATCAGCCGCTGCGGGCACAAGCCGCTTCGTGTGTTCTAGTCATCCACCCTGGGATGCGGTCGTGCCCACGCCGCCCGTCGCACTAGCTCAAGACATTACAATTCTGCTCGTTTCCGATCAACACGTCGGACATATTCAGATGGACATGACTCCCTCCAACAGCAAGATATCAACACGTGTTTTGCAGAGGGTTTGGGACGCACCCACGCGCACAGGACCACGGGTGAGAGCGACCGCGGCCACTGCGTAGTGCTCACTCTCCGCGACAAGCTCAGCTCTCACCTGTGCGCCGCCGCATCACGCCATGCCGGCAGCCCCCCTGATTTTCTGCTCTATCGACGCCCCGCATCTCGATCATAGGGCACACATCCGCATCCATGCTCGTGCGGCGCCGGCGAACACCCATCGTATTCATTACTGGCCCGCATCTCCCACCTTGGCGCACTGCCCTTGCCCATCCAGGCCTGCCGGCCGAGCATCCCAGGCGTCCTCGCTGCGCGTGCTCGGGATCGCGCAATTGCCAGCGTCCACCGCTGCGGCGCATGTCCGCCTAATGCGGCATCCGTGACGCCAGCCTCCCCGAGGGGGCGGCCCTTCAAATTCTCGCTGGCAGCCTTAACATTGCGCGGGACCCGCCTGTGCAGATGGGGCTACATGCGACTCGCGCACTGGCACGTCGACCAGGACGACGCCATCGAGCCATCTGGCGTCCACACGTGCCTCTCCATTCTGCGACCATGCGTCGCGCGCGCGCGCGCTCCATCAAGCAAAGTCCAGCGGTGCGTCTCGGTGCATGTGCGTGCGCGCGCGCACTGGTTCAGTGACCATATCGCTATCACGGGCGCCATCTGATCAGGGCGTCGCCATCATCCCGCGCACACAGGCACGGCGCGCCGGGGTGACGCGCTGCGCGGAATCTGATCAACGCCGCTATTCAATACTCAATATTTCAATACTCAGCGAACGCGCGCAGCCCCGCCGGTC